CCGAGGTTTATTGAGAGTCGAACATGGCGTCTCTTACAGATAGTAAGTGTGCTGTGCAACAGAGTTTATGGGTGGGCTTTCCAAGGGACGGGATGGTAGACTAAGGGCGACTGCGCGCTCATTCCCGAGGACGATTCTTGATATGTGCCGCAGGATCCACATCTGCAGCAGCGTGCCACTTCCTTTGCTCAAAAATGCACAGATGCCGGGGCCGGAGGGTAGTCATACCCGGGTGCCGTTTCCCAAGTCCATCCGTGCTACCCTCTATGTGCACCATTTGAATCGACACCACGATTCAGCAAACCAAGATTCAGAAACACGCAGTCAGCAACAGAGAACAACCAGAAGTGATAGTGAGCATAAAAGTAGCACGTTTGGCCATGGTTAGGCGTGCGGCAGCGCAGGCAGAGTATGGAGACCGTATTCGGGTATCGCTGTCTTCCAGCGCGTTCCCCTGCACTTTTGACCGAAGTAAGTGGCACACGACCGCAGCTGGGGACCATTTACCTCACACTGGCAAGAACCAAGCCCACGGAGGTGCGTGTACAGTTTCTTTGAGATAGTAGCCTACTAAGCTGAAAATCTTCCTCTTTCATTGGCTCGAAAACATTCTGCAAGTTTGTCAGAGATTGCGCAAGGTATATAGTGCACCACTGTCTACTAATCGCGTGAAGATGAAGTAACCCTCCCATGTAAAGAAAAATTGAATATGAAAATAATTGACTATGTCGAAAAATCGAAACAGAAATATTGAGATTGAGGAGAAGGGTCGGGACCGAACCCAAGTTCCCTCAGTTTCCAAGGAGAGTGTCAAAGCAGCCCATTGTTGAAATTTTCGGAATTTAGGTCCTATTACGAGAGTAGTGTACAATGTAATTACTACCACATCCTCAACTTCTTGCAACATTCCGATCCGTTTTTTCGGTATTACCAAGAAGTGAACTGGAGCCTGTGGACTGATGTCGTGAAATGCCATCACCTGAGAAAAGAATCCCATCAACAAAGGTTACTTCGAATTTAGTGCATGATTCTTTATTGATTTTCATTCAACCATTGGCTTTGTGTAACCAATCCCAGTCACTGTCCCTGCAAACGAGAGGGCGTGGACTGGAGCGCAGGTAGGGCAGCCTTTTCCACTAGTTTTTGAGGGGGTTTGACTCCAACTGGTGGAGGGGCCGTCCAGTACACGCTATTTCACACCCCCTTCTTTGCGGGATAATCATTGTATGCCTACTCTAACGCTTTTTCCACGTAGAAAAAGCAAATATTCGCAATGAAAGCCATGTGGAATATCGCCACTTCCATCTATAGCTCTCCTAGGTCCATTTTGCTCAGTTTAATTAACCGCAAGACTTAACTGAATAATACCCCTACAAACAGTACCTCGTCATCTTCGTACAGAACTTTTGCTGATATCTCTTTACGAATAATTTGTCCAAAAATAGTGTCTTCCTCACGCACAGCCGTTCGTGCTTTGTCCACTTCTGACATTATCCTGGAAGTTTGGCCGATAATGGCTACCCGCGTTTGGCTCCAGTCAACCTGAAAAACCACCTCAATGATGACGCGATAGTCCCGTTGCTATTTCACTCACTT